AATTACCAGGAAGTGGTCCAAGCTAGCAGGAAGAATGGCAGGTTCTTAGCCACTAATCCACAACTATATTCAACTTTGTGGCCATATTAGACCACAGATGGGCCCTAAAATGGGTAGGGGCAGGTAGCCAATTTTTTGACACTTGGTGTTCCCAGGTACAGATGCTCCTCTCCTCCAGAAATGCTGAACTTCTTCATCCAGGGCAGAGCCTTGCAATACAAACAGGTTCTGATTAAACCTGTGCAACCTATACTTAACTACTGCTTCCCATTAAAATTTGCCCAAACAAAAATGTGCTCACAGCCATAATCACCTGAGATGCCTAAATTCAGTGAGACAGTGATGCTTCATCAGACAAATATTTTACTCTCTGAGGGTCAAATTCTGCCCATTCTTTCTCAGTTTGAACTGTACCTTACTCCAAACATAAGCTGCTGAAATCATTCAGTTTACATGCCCAGGAGGGCAATATACAGTTAGAGAAGCTGGCCCATACTGTCTTTAATGACATCTGGTCATGGATTTCCAATGGCTGTCTAGGAGATACAGATGAATCGGGTCTCCTTTAGACAGCCTCCGAGTCAGGCTGGGTGAGATTCTGATGCAACAAGAGCAGAGTTTGCTGAGCACTGTGCAAATCAGGTGCTTTCCTTTTAGATAGATGGCAAAATTGATTTTCATTAGGGGTTTTATTCCTGGTGCACTTCCAGTACTCAGGAAATGAAGAGAAGCCTAGGTAATGTCCTAGGTAATTTTCAGACTGAGTAAAGTCTAAAAGTCTAAAGATGGCCAGTTTCTGATACAGCACACTCTAAACAGCAAATCAGAAAGGTGTGTGGTGGTTCGGTTTGTGTGGTTTTTTTTTTTTTTTTTAACCAAATTTTTTTCCCTCCTTGCCCTTCCTCCCTAAAAGGTCCCTTCAGAAATGGAGCTTGGCTGCAGCCCCGGTACAGTAATACATTAGCCTCACAGAGGCCCTGGCTTACAGGGTGAGCCTTCATGGGCACAGGGGACTGCCCTGCACCACACCCAATAGGGCACAGACCCATTCAGCCTAATGACAGTAAGAGAGGAGACAGACTGGCCACCACTGATCAGGACAAAATGGGGCACTGGATGTACTTGAGTGACCCAGAGCACCATCATCATGGGCTTCTCACTTGCTACGCATTAGGCAGCAAAGTAATTCAGGGTGGCAGAGCTGGGCGCTTTGAACTACGTGGGTCATCTACATGTAAATGTTGCCTGCAGGCTAAGCAGGGAACCACCTGAGGAAAAAAACCTTGGGAGAAACAGGCACGCGATATACCTGAGCTCTGTGTAGCTCAGATCTCTCAGTCAGGGCAGCACAGGACTTGCTGCTGACTTCAACCCGGATCATTAGATGATAGATGCAGTATGACAAATGCAAATATTTTCTTCTTGACATATAAGTCCAGCTTTCTTCCAGATCATGTGTTCAACTATACTCTGTGTTTAATAGACACTACCACAGGTATCCTGATACCTGTTTGTGACATGTTAGTATAAAGCCACTTATACTATGTCATTTAATTCTTCCTTTTTTAACAATGGGTCATATACAATGAGGGATATAGCTGATGGCAACAGCTATACGCAGGAATCTGCTGAGAATGTGGTGTGATGCCTTCTGTTTCTAAACGCTCATACAATCTGTTTTTATGTGTTGTCCTGTTTCATGTAAGGAAAAGGAGGTCTGAATCGGCAAAGCCCACATGTTCATTAGTGCAGCCCTCTACTTGGGAGGGCAGGTGTCTTCACAAGCGGAGACCTGCAAGGCTGGAGTTTTATTCTGCTGAATTATGGCAAAAGTTCTTACTCTCCAATTTTGATGCTGTATTTTTTTACAGAGGCAAAGACTACTCTATCTAGAGAAATCCTCTTACCGTGTAATTATTTTCTGCACCTTTTATCTTTCATTTTCACTGCACTTCTAAAATTCTTTTGTGTTAAATGGAAATTAATCTCTTTTCCTGCACTAACTTCCTGGAGGGAAGCACCATTAGCAGTAGGAGTCCTTCAGTTATCCCACTGCAGGCAGAAGCAAAGCTGTGCTTTCAGAGCAAGATGAGACCCTCCAGAAGCTCTGCCTCTGCAACAGCTTACAAATGACTCTTGCTACACAGCATGTCTATACCTGAGCAAATTAAATTCTATTTAGGTCAAAGTCCTTGCACTCCACTTTTATTACAGCACAGAACCACGGCTGCTGCATGTTCAAGCAAGAAGTAAGATGCAACCATCCAACATGAAGCCTGTTTGCTACAGTCACTGTGACTGATGTACTTTCTTCAGACTATGACAGTAATCCTCTTGCTTCCCAACCCCAGAATTGTGATTGTCACAGTTGCTGCTGTTTGGATTAACCTGGAGGATGGAGAAGACAGCTACCTCTGCCATGTGTGTGGAGTACTTCATTGAGGGGTTGGTCTGACACTGCTCACTGCTTGGCCCACCATCACTGAAACTACATCTGACAGAGAGCATCGTGTTATGGCCATGCTTGGCAGAAGTAGGACTGTAATAATCTCAGTCTAGCTGTTTTCTGCTTGTCTAGAGCATGCCTCTTAATAGCCTGGCTTCTGAAATAGGAAGGTGGTCCAGCAAAATCTATTAATAAGCAGCCGCTACCTTCCTGACCACTGTACCACATGGCTGTGAAAATGCAATACAGTTATTTCAGGATATCAGACATGTTACAAATGATAGTAACTCTGTGCCTGTAAGTTACTATCATTTGTAACTAGCAAATATCCCATTCCCTACTCTATAGCCATCTAATCCACTGGGAGAAAAAAAATGTTTGTTTTTGATGTAACCCTCTTTTGCATTCTAAGCCCACTTACCATAACTGAGTCATTCATGCTTCTCATCTGGAAGACATCCATCGTGACCTCTGTGCAGTTGGACGCCTCATTGCTGCCTGTATGATTGGATGGAGGGAGGTCAAAGTAGGTGCTGTCTGGTTCCCTGTGAAAAAGTGATGACAGTCAGTTTTCCAGTTGTCTAACAAAGCCTGCACCAATAATACCCAAGAACTTGTATTTCCCTGAAGCCTTGCCTCATTCTCCACTTCTCCCTCCATCCTTTGCTTATATTGTCATGTAGCAAAGCAGGCAACTGTTCCCTTGTGGGTAAAGAAAGGAGAGACTTAGGAAGCTGTTTGTCTACCCAGCTGCTCTAGCATATCTGTCATCTTGGGATGTCTAAGTTATGGGATAGCAAGGAAGAAAGAGGATGAAATGAAGTACAGTCCTTGTTCCTTGTTTGATTAGAGTGAGGCTCAAAGGCCAGAACAGTTGCAAAATTCTCGATAAGCGTTTTCCAGTCACAATTTTTGAAAATAACCATTTTAATTAGGCAGCTAGCAAGCTTCGTGGCCTCAGGAGTGGAGACAGACCAGTAAGAGCGTATCCTCCCAGGCTTGGTCCCAGCATCTCTTGCCTCACCCTTGGGAAGGGTCCTAGTCAAAAGGGGACGTTTGTTCAGGCCCTGAGACCATCTCCATGCAGCCCTGGAGCACTGCCTACAGATGGACCTAGGTTATGAGATAGATGGTGTCATGTACAAATGCCAGGTTTAAGAGCCACAGTTCAGGAAAACTGGCCAAGTTTGTCAGTACCCAACCCAGGCTGGCTAGTGCTGGCTCCTGAGCAGCACTGTTGGGTGCAATGCTCCTTTAGTTCTCTGCAGTGTGTTGTGCTGACAGGTGGGGGACTCTACACCACGCTGCTGTGGGCCAGTGGGCCTTTCTTCAGCAGGCAAGGTGTGAATAAGGACACAGCTCAACTGCTTCTCTCTAAGCGAAGATGAGTCAGTGTCTCCTCTTCCCAGCTGCTGTTGGAGAGCATGATCAGAAATGCCTCAAACACCTTTGCTTCCTACAGCAAGAGGAAGTGTGCCCTGATAGTGACCTTTGACGTGCAAGAAAGACTGCTGTGCTACAGTAACTTTTTGCAGTGCTTGCAGCACTCCTTTGCATCTACAGTGCACATCAAAAATGCCGGCATTTGCACATCCCTTTCCAGAAACACCTTCAGTTGGAAACAACGTTTGTGGTGCTCAGCTTTCTACAAATGCACGCTCCACAGTCTTTGAACTATCTAGCATCATCGAGGCAAAGGGGTCTGGCAAATGAAATAGTCTAAGCAGAGAGATCTGAGTCTGAGAGCAAAATTCTTTGTATGAAAAATGAGAATATGAAAGCTAGAGCATGTGGAAAAAAATGTTTTCCCTCAGGTCATATTGATAATATGTGCTAATATAGACTACACAGCAAAGGGCCATTTCTGCCTCAGAATATTTCTTAACACAAATGGTCAAATACCACTTACAGCGTGCTCCAGAGATGTTCAAATGTTGTACCTTCATCAGCTGGAGATGACTGGGACATCTTCACAGAAGGGGAGTCTGACAAAGGATAAATCACTCTAGGGACAAAGGGGGGAAAAAAAACTATGTTAATATTGCTAGAGTGCAAACAAAAAAGTCAGTTTTCTCCCGGAGGCTTTACAACCTTTTGTCTGTTCTGCAACGGAACAGAGCAGATGATTTGATGTTGTGTTTATACTCTTCTATTCCTGAAAAATGCTTGGAGATCCAAGTTAGCTGCACTAAACTCAGTTTATGACAAAGTGAGTTGCAAATGTCATATTATATCACCATATCACTGAGTATCAATTCCCTCCTGCTTTGTCACTGACACAGTCTCAGAGAGGCAAAAGCTGCTGGTGAAGTGCAGGAGCTTGAGGTGGCCGAGGAAGTTCACACCTAGCTCCTCAGCGGTGCTGTGCGAGCCCGGAGCTCCAAAGGACTCACGATAGTGAAATGCTGCCACTTCCTCCCCAGGTCCAGCACACTTCTTCCTGGTACCTAGCAGTGCGAGGGCCCTGGAGTCACATGTGTGTGGAGGAAACTACAGCTACCTCTCCTGTTGGTGTGGTGCTGCCAAGCCTTGCGTGCCTGGGCCTGCTGGGACCCGGTCACCAGGAGGAGCAGCAGAAGGAGGGCACATGGCTCTTTCACTGCATCCACTCTTTCTGGCCCCTTTCAGCAAGCTCTTGCAAGGCTCCCAAGCACTTTCTGAATGAAGAGTGTCACTACACACTCTGCAGTACTACCAACACGTGTCCCAGCACAGCTTTGCTGCATGGATGCTGCTCTGTTGTGACTTAGCACTTGCATACCACAGCAGGACTTGGCTACTGCATGGGCTGCAGACAACGAGTAGCTTACAAGAGGGGAACCCAAACTTAACCCACTGGAGTGAGTGCTGCCCTGGAGTTTGCTGTACTGAAAGAGAGTTTGCATAAGAAAAGTGACTGAAAACACCTTCGTTGCAGATGAGTACAGATCCTGGGTTGCGCTGCTCCACAAAGACTGCTGTAAGAACCCAGGGCTCATTTCTAGCAAAAGAAAAGGTTGCAGAAAAGATATACCCTTGCCTAAGCTGTCTTCGAGGTTGAGGATCAGACTTGACCTAAGGTTTTTCATTAATCACCTGGCCTAGTATTTTGAGTACACTTTCATGCTGGTGGAGGGCATGTTAGAAAACCAGATGGTCTAAGCACAAGGGAGGAGTGCTCAGGGAAGCAGGAGGAAAAATTCTTAAAAATACGTGGGTATTTTGCAGGGGGTCAGAGTGGCACGTGCTGGACTTTCAGTCGATTTCTACTAGAAACTAATTCCGTGACTCAAGGCCTCCATTTAAGATGCTCATAGTACACTTCAGCAGAGCGTTCACCATAACTGCAAACAGCTCCCTCAACTCTGGAGTAGTCTTTGCACAATTATTCTTAGTAATCATTTTGGATTAGGTTCAGTAAAGAGCTTAAACTTCCCAGTTAGACACAGCAACACCAAACTCATGAGTACCAGGCCTCTGAATAGAACCAAAAACCAAAGTCAGATGACAAAAATAGTTTTGCAGCAAAAACTAGAATGAATGACACCTTTGGTCCAACTACAGGTCCTAGCTGCTAGGCTGCAGTCTGGTTTCTACTCCCTCGAGAAGAACACTGTGTGCGCGGCTGCACAGAGAAGTGAGGAAATCCTTTTCCTCCGAATCTGGTGAGTAGGGGAGAGACATTCATGTCTCTGAGTCATGGTAGCACCACAGATCCAGGTTGTACTCTGCCTGGACAAGAGCCGTATCCCACAGGCTAGTTTATGAAATGCCCTTGGCTTCCACCGGCTCTGAGCAAGGCATGCCAAGAAAGCAGGATTGTAGGAGCTCTGAGAACTGGCAGGAACTCAGGCATCTCCAGTATCCAATGGCCACTTAAACAAACTTCAAGAGGAAAAGTCTGCCTGTGCTCTGTTTTGATGTGACCTGTCAGTCCCAATCCTGCCTTGTTCATTTTGGGCAGAGCACAATTTTCATCCCAGGAACATCATTTGCCAGTAGGCTGATGCTCGTGAAGTTGTAGTTGCAAACGCCCATAAATCCCCACAGATATTCCGGGATAGCCTTTGCTCTGGCCAGTTATTTATGAAGCCAAATAATAATGAGGAACAATGAAGTCAGGCACAGTCTCACATCACTGCTTTTAGAATCTGGGCTCCCTCATTAAAACAGGGAGTGTGCTATCACCTTCACACATCTGAGCTTGGTGTAACCACAGGATTCCAGCGTTTATATGGATCTCCTTAAACTGCATAATCTATGACGTATATCACTAGGGAACTGACTGCCTAAATACAGGAAACAAGATAACATAAGAACATTACTACCATCTCAAAAACCAGCATAATAGTCATGAGTTCCATTAAAAATTTATGTTCAGCCAAAAGTACCACTGAGAACAATTTAATCTCCAAATACTCCTGCTATATGCCTCAGAACGTCTCCAGACTTGTGTCAGGTTAGTACTAACCTTAACTAGCAAAAGCAGGGCCTATTGGTCCGTGTTTCAAAAGCTTTCCTGGAAAGCATCTTTGTGAAGTGTTTTCTGGTAACAGCAGCCACTGTTAACACTTCTCACCCAAAGATTGCAACTTATTGTTCAGGTATTTATAAGTCCCCCATGAAGTTGGGTAACCTTTGCTTCCCTGTACATACTACACAGTTGAGGAAGGCATGAAAATGGCTAAGCACACTCAGGAAAAGTATAATGCAAGCTTATGGTGAAGGCGCAATACAGATGTCCTAAATGTTTAGACATTAAAATGGCCTTCCCACATCTAAGCATCTTGCAAATATTACTGAATGTAATAGTACGCCCTCCAAGTAAACTAAGGCAGGAATGTTACCTCTGCTTTACAGATGCGGAACTATTAACTGCACCATTTGCCCAGGACTGCATACAGGAAATCTGTGGGAAAGCCAATTCTTCAACCAAAGCCTTCTGAATCTTACTGCACAGGCATAACCACAGAGTCATCTTTAATCCTATCTGTTCCTCTTGCCTTTGGACAAAACTGTCTGGCAGTGAAATCTGGAGAGAGATCTCTCGAGTTCAGAACAGCTCCCTTCTGCGAGAAGGGTATAGGCACCTATACCCACGCTGCGCGCCCAGGTGCGCTCCTGCTTATCTGACCTCTGCTCATCACAGCCAGGCTTGTTTACGGTCCATGGAGTCCATGGAAGAAACCCACCAGAAATGCATACATCTATGAATACCCAAGTGTGGCAGTAACGTGTGCATTTTGTATGCCCGGTTATGTACTTTGTCAGCAAAGTTAGATCCTGCTTTGCGAAACTGTAGCTCTGTAAGAACAAAAGCAACTACAGCTGTCCAAGAGCCTAAAGATCAGACAGAAAAGGCAATGCACAGTAGAAACTTTAGGCATTGTAATTCTCTGTTAACCTTTGTTGTTTGCCAGCATGACTGCTTCTCTGGAGAAATCGGTGCTAGCTGATCTGTGGCAAAACCTGACACGACCGCATGTACAGCCTGCCTTTGACAGCGTGCTTGGATCACCTGCAGTTCGCTGCAAGCCATGCAAAACCCAGAGACCCACATTTTCTTGGCTTCTTTCAAGCAGCGAAGAAAGCATTCAGCATGCCTTGACTCTTCCTTTGTGGCCTATCATTTGTCCAAACTCCAGCAGAAGAAGAGTCAGCATTTTGTGGAATGGCCAGGCTGCAGCCATCTTGAACACTGTGCTGTCTTCCTCTGCTCCGAGCCGTGCTGTAAAATCATTATCTTCACGGGCTTTCCTGCTCCCTCTGAAATACCAGGACCTACTTCTGTGCACTTACTAAAATATACCTGTGCCAGACATGATCTGGCTACTTCTTTTATCCACACAACAAGTGTTACCATCTTATTTCAACTCAGTACCGACATCTAATACTGAAAGCCTAAAAAACTTCCTGCTTTTCGATCTTAGACCGCCAATCTGAGGGCAGCAGCTTTCTAGCTGAATGATCTATTTGTGTTAGCACAGATGCAGTCCCCCTGGCTCAGGCCCTTTCATTCTGTGCTCTGTCTGAGTCAGCTGGAGTCTGGATGAGTTCAAGAGTGGCTGACACGACATAAGAAGTTAAAACGAAAGCAGGACAGTGTCCCCTGACAGTTGATCCCATATTCTGGTTTCTGCTCCCTCTACGACTTGCCGGCGAGATACAGTATCTACAGATGCTCCTCTAGGAGGGTTTGCCAAAGCAGCAGAGGACTCGTTCCCCACTGATCTAATTGCGGAATCACTAGCTTGTGAAAGTATCATTTCCTCCCATCCCTCTTTGTCCCATATGTAAAAGGGAGAGAAACAAAAGGACGTAAGCAGCAGTTTTGAAAAAAGGAAAAGTTGAGAGCTGCAGTTGGTGGCCTTACCCGGGTTCCATGCTGGTTTCCTTGGCCCAGGATATTGGCAACTTCAAGAATGAGCCAGGCCTTTTCTTTCAGCAGAGAAAGCACCTCAGCACCGCCCTGTACTGTGTGGTCATGATGGGTGACACCAGTCTAACCACGTGGCTGTGCTCGTTTTCAAAAGAAAAAAAAATCTGAATATTTTAAGGGCGTTGTGGAAGTTCCTTTTCTCTTTCAGAAGCACAATGAGTATTTGCAAAGCCAGGCTGGTATCTTCCCACACTAAAGCTCTATGGTACAAAGAGAAGCTTGGGCTGTCGGTACTGCTAATGCACTTACATAATGCAGTGATCTCTGTACTTACTGTGAAAGTATTTCAGCAGCAATAATGACACTCTGACAGCCTGGCATCTAAGATGATAAAGAACCACAAAAGACTTTGCAAATAGTATTCCCCAAAGCCAGCAGCAGTGCTGACGATAGTGTAATTTGCTGATTAGTGTAATTTAAAATTAGGTGCAGTTTAGACCCACATCATATACTGAAAGACGGAGGCATTCAGGCTGGATAGGAAGTGGAAGGAAGGTCTGTTAAAAGAAGTCTGGAAAATGTCCTGATGGTGAGGTCTAGCAGAAGGAAAAAAATATCCCATTGGAAGGAAATAGTGGAGGCCCGGTGGCACGGGTTATTTAAAAAAGAACTAGGGAGAGCCTTAGAGACTAAGCCTACATTGCTAGAGAATGCCTCTTCTCAGCACCAAAGTCTGAGAAGAGAGCTAAGATTACACCGGGACTTCTGCAAGAGGGAGTTCTCTAGCAAAACCTCCACCAGGAGGATTTCTGCACTTACATCTCCAAGACCTAAATCTGTTTAGTAAAATGAAGATCTCTTTGTCTAGGGAAAGGGTATGGCAGGGGGTTCTCTCTCCCTTCTATCCCTATGGACCAGGGACATAGTGGGGGAGCAAGACTGCTTGGAGTGACCTTCAGGGATGGCAGACATGGAGCGCTGCAGCCTCTGAGCACAAGCACAGCTCGGGGGGAGTTTGCCAGTAGGACATGCACCTAATTTGTTTCAGGCTTTTAGAGGAGGAGAATCTGAAACATGCAAACTAGGGGGTTTGGTGCTTGGCACTAATGCTGCTTATGTGATTTGCTTGTTTTCGCTTGGGAGAGCTGCCTCTCCACATGCTTTCTCAAGCTAACTCCGCCATTCACTGGATTGCTGCTTCCCTCTGTTGCTAGTTAGTGCATTGCAGGGAAATTGCAGAGTGAAGAAAAGGCTTGGAGTGCAGACATAAAGACTAGAAAGAGCAAGTCTCCCACCTTTGCTTGCTCTGGAGACTTAGCTCACTATATTGCCAGGTTAGTAATCACCTGGGAGCTACCATGTCCCACCACTGTGCTGCTGGATCGTGTAGTGTAGAATGGGTTGGTTCGCTCCAGGGACCTGATTTTTTCTGTACATTTACCTTCCATGTGAATTGTCACTGAAGTGATTTCCAAAGGATTAGTATGGAAATATAGTGTCCTTATTTTTTACGCACTGCTGTGACTTTGGCTATATCAGAAATTCCAAGCCAGCTCCAGTTACAGCTCAGCCAAAGCAATCTTTTCGATCCCAGCTTACGGGATACAAGGAAAATAAAAAGCATGCACCAAGACTCATGACAGCCATTCCAAGACAAACAGCAGGTGAACTTGCATATATCCAACCATGCTTTATTCATACTCACAGTTTGTGTTTTGACCACAGTCTCTGAACATATTTTTAGAATTATTATAAATCCAGCTCCTTTCTCTCATCAGTATAAGGTAGGTAAAGGGTACCATAGGCATAACTAGGGGGCTGAAGCCTTGTTGAGAGATGATGCCTAAAAGTTGAGCTGTCCTGTCTCTACTGCAGTCTCTGGAAGGAGACTGGAACATCTTCATCGGAGGAACATCTTCAATCTGACCACTAACTTTAAGCCTCAGTTTTAGGTACCTAGAAAGCTGTGTTGCTATTTCACATAGCAATAACATGTTCTCCATTACCCTGTCAACTCTAACAGCCCAAAGTGAGATGTGACAATATTCTACAGCCACCTTACAGGGAGATAAGTGCATGAAAACTGTGTGACAGGGCTATTCCTAATTTCTAAATGCTCTTGGCTCATCCTGAGAGGAAGACCTAAGTAACCCAAACAAGCCATACATGTCTTTAAATCTGCATTGTTGAGATGATGAGTAAGGAATAACTCTGTTCCCAGGCAGCTGTGTGGTCTCGCAGTGAGAACACAGGACTGGGATCAGGACTTCCAAGAGTCATTTCCAACTCTCACATCAAGTTGCTGTATATTGCTTGAAGGTATATTGACCTGTTTCTGTCCCTTCTCTCCCCCCCTCCAGTGCACAACGAGAACAGTAAGGCTCATCCACCCTGCAGCAAAGAGGTTAATGTCTGCAAAATGTTTGCGGATCCCCAGGTGCCAACACTACCCAGTGTTATTGTTCATTCATCCCAGATTATTAAATTCATACCTGCAACACAGAGCTTAGAAAAGTAAGCAAGAGCCAGTGAGTTTTGCTGCAGTACACTTGAATCTCAGGAGCAATCCTCAGTGTCCAGCAGCTTGCTAACAAATTTCTTTTCAATGTCCCCAGAGAAAGAGGCACTAAGTCCTTTCACTCTTTTTCTTGACAGCTGCTCAGCCAAGCCAGTGCTCTTCCTGGCTCGCTGCTCTCTGGTTTTGCTCACACACAGGCACCTCCTCGGGAGGACACAGCGTTTACCTGTGGTCCAGAGCAGGGTGCTCTTTCAGACAATGTGAAACAGGTCAGCCCCAGAGCAGCAGCAGCCACTGGCCACTGCATTGGTGCCTAGCCAAGTGAGAAACAGCCCCTCGCATTGATGGGGAACAGAATACAGTGAAGCAGCCTGAGGTACCAAGGAAATAGCCAGCCCTATCAGGTGCTTCTTGGGGACAGCAGTGCCCAGCAAAAAGAAGGAGCAGGTAGGTTAGAAATCCTATCTGATGGAGAGAGGAGTCAACAGACAGATAGAAGAGAAACCCCTACCAGCCTTGTGTTGGGGCAGAAGACTAAAAGAGTAACTCCCATTCCCTACAACTGCCTTTTTTTACCTGCCAGCTAAGTTTCAGCTCTGAGTACAAACCTGACTCTACTGAACCCATGGAGCTTGGCAGCCCTGCAGTGCACTCTGGCAGTGAGCAAAAAGCCACAGCATCCTGCCTGTATCTATCCCCACCTCTGTTTTTTCATTCAAAGCTTTGCTGTTTCTCCTTCCACAAGTGCTGTAACTAGATCTAAGACACTTTGGAGCAAACTTTCCCAGATCCTTTAATATCATGTAAGTACCCTATGGAGCAAAGCAGCCACAAATCGCCTTCCAGCTGCATTATTGAGCAACTGGGAGAGGGTCTGTGCTGAATAACTCGCACACACAAAGAGCAAGGGGTTTCCTTTTGTCTTTTTTCTTCCTACCTGCTCTGGCTCCCCAAGCGTTTCGAGTTCCCCCGGAGGTCTCCCGCAGACAGGAGCGGCCTGGGATTGAGGATCTATGTTATTTACTGCACTACAATCAAGTAGCGTCCCGGTCGCCTAGGCAATGACATTGGAGCTGTTGAAAGCTATGTGAAAAGTGTGGCAAAGGCTTGTGTGCTCCTTCCTGGAATACAAGGCAGCTACAAGGGGGTGGGGAATGCTCAGCCAAGCGTGCTGGGGAATTAAGCCGGTCACCGACGCCAAAGCGACTCACAGGGCTAGCTGGCTCCTCAGGGGCTCCAGCAGAGCCAGCCACGGAGCAATGCTGAGCCAGAGACTGTTAGCAGTGTTTAATCATGACTGAATAGGAAAGGAGACTTGATGTATACCACAACAGATTGCTGGTCCGGAGTTAATTCTTGTGCTTGCATTGGTCAAAATGACTCACTCATCTTTGTTGAGGTATTAGAAGAATAGGGGCAGATTGCCTCCGTGACCAGCAAGGGCACCGCATTTCACCTAGCTGCTTCCTGCAGTGGGACATCATCCTCCAAAGGGCAGTAGGACTGAGTGCCTTTTTCCTTGCATATAACAACTTCATAGGCATTGACCAAATGGAACATATTTTATAACATTCACAAGGAGGCAGCAGGAGTTAAAGAATTTCCCCTCTTTTCTCAGTCTATCTTTGCAGAGGATAATTTATCACACAGACACACAGACTCTGCTGACATCTGAATAGATATGGGAAAAAGTGACTCGTCAAGACGCACTTGGAGTAGCAGTGAATAAAGATTGAGTATTTCCAATTAACAACCATTGTCCATGAGGCGTTCTCCAACTATGGCTCTAATCGTCTGTGCTCTGAGGACCCACTGAATACCTTTTAACTGACACCTGTTTTCATAAGTGGAAGTTTTACTGTTCATCTTCCCTTTAGTCTGCACTCAACCACTTGGGGAAAAAAGTTGGGAAGTTTTCATTACACTCTCTGTTCAGAGGCTAACAGATAAAACTCTGCCCATAGGCACCCACGCATCCTTTTCTGGGGCAGACTGTGTCTTTAGACCAGCTGTCATTTTTCACTCCTTCATTGTGCCTGGGTAGGACCAGAAAATCGATGCCTTTACTAAATGCATCAGAGTTGTTACATTCATTTTGCAGGGGCTAAATATATAACCCATAATGTATCATGAAAACAAGCCTCAAATGTTTGCTCTGATGCTGAGGTTTATTTTTAAAATGGCAATGATTATATTTTTCCAAACACGAATGTGGGATCACTGCTGAACTGCCACACTGCTGTGAACACGTCGGTGCTGCCGCTCAGCGCACGCTGCTGCTCAGCGCGTGAGCCAGGCTGAGCGGCAGGCTGTTGCCTACGAGGGACTCACTGTCCCCCATCGAGCACAACCAAGCAAGCTCCCATAGGGCATGCTTTCAGCTCAGTTTTCAAAGGGCTTTCCTCAGCTCAGCTGGTTATTATAAGTAAATGTTTATGGTCGAGTGCAGCTCAGGTACCGAGTGGCAGTTGAACGAGATCAAGTAAGAAAGATTCGGTGTATACCACACGACTGAATGTGGCTCTTCACCTCACCAGTTTGCTGGTCTACTAGGCGATAGTTCAGTATGCAAGAGCAAAGGTGGTGTCCTTGGTTTCTGTGCTCATGGCCTGAAGGACTGACTCATTTTCAGGTCCTAAATGTACCTAGGTGTGCTAGAGTGGGACCTGTGCGGCCAATAAACCCCGTCCTTCCACCTTGCCAGCTGCAGCAATTAAACAAATACTGATTTCAGAGTTTGACCTAGAGCAGTGTAAGTACATCCTCCAGTGAGACTTGCAATGAAATCACTTTTCACACTTCAGGATAGGAAAGAAGGAACCTCAGAGAAACTTGCTGGGACTCTCAGTCCTCTGCAAAGAGGTTGGCTCCTATTTGCCCACAACAACTATCCAGTTGTGATTTTGGCCACATGAAAAGAGAGATAGACAAAGCCTTATCATGGACTGTTAGACTCAGTGAGTAACAGAGGCGGCCAAGGAAGTAGGTACAATTTCAACTGCTATCACTGTTGAGTGGGCTATTAAAACCCCATGACATCTAGCATGAATCGTACATGGGCCAGCACATCCCAGTCTCCGAAGAGCTGAAACAAATAAACCCCGTGGCTAAACCGGCAGGCACCTGCATTATCTAACAGAACATACCCTTCAACATGGGCCACACCGTCTGCTCTCCCTTACGTGATGATTCCTGGATTTTTCTCTCACAAATCTTTATGGTCTTCTTTTCTAAATTCAATTCGCATCCTGTTTACTAATATATTTCATTTGCAATTTGCAGTCTCTCTATAACAGCTGAGAAAACTGTCACAACTTCCTGCCCGTTTTGTTCATTACTATCAATAATTAGTCAGGAAGCCGCATGAGATCAGAAATTAAAACTCAGGAAGCAAGTGGGGACATGCATCCTTCCAAAAAGTCTAGAAAATAAATTAGAGGGAACTCTTCTAATCATGAAAAGGTTTTGCTGACTTTTGTGGACTACAGAAGATGAAGCCTGTGGAAGCAGGGATGAGAAAACTGTTGTCTAATCACACAGCGCTGCACATCGCATCTTATTAAATACCCCATCTGCATAATAATTACTTTCATCTCTGCTTGTGATCACGCACCTTGCGCCGCCTGCAGCCTGGCGCTGACTGACGGACCGACTGAGGGGCTGACTGACAGACGGACCGACTGAGGGGCTGACTGACAGACGGACCGACTGACTGAGGAGCTGACCGACGGACCGACTGAGGGGCTGACCGACTGAGGGGTGACGGACCGACTGAGGGGTGACGGACTGACTGGCGGG